TATTCATTCAGCCACCTTATGTCTTCTGGTTAGGACTTGAGTCCACTTCTATTTAAATAAGTAGTGACAGAAAAGGAATTACTATTGTCACTTTGGTTGTTACTTTCTATTAGTCTTTTAATTATTTGGTCTGTCTTTTCCTTTGTTGCTGTCTTCCTTAGTATTTTGTTGATATTTTTATTTGCATGTTTTGATTTCTTTCTCTTTGTGTATGTGTGTATAAATTGTATAGTTTTTCTCTGTGTGGCTACCTTATAATCTGTTTAAAAATAGGCTAAGAACTTAAAGATACATTTCTGTAAAAGGACATACAAATGGCTGACAAGTATGTGAAAATATGCTCACAGTTGCTTATCATCAGAGAAATAAAAATAAAAATCACAGTAGATACCACCTCAAACCTGTCATGATGGCAATTATCAAAATAAATGACAACAAATATTGGAAAGAATATAAAATAACTGAAATCTGTGCATACTATTTGAGCATATATAAAATGATGTAGCTGCTATGGAAAACAATATGGAGTTTCCTTTAAAAAATTAAAAATAGAATGATCCTATGGCCCGGCAATTGCAAATATCCATTTCTGAGATATTTAAATGAATTGAAATCAGCTTTTTGAAAATTGGCATTCTTATTTTGATGATAATACTATTCACAATAGCCAAATATGGAAACCATGTGAATATTCATCAACAAATTAATGGATGAACAATGTATAGTATATACATGTAATAGAAGAGTGTTCAGACTTTAAATATAACATTTTACAATGTGCAGTGATATGAATGAATCTTGAGGACATTATATTAAGTTAAAGAAACCTGTCACAGAGAGATAAATGTTACATGGTTCCACTTATGTAAGATAGTCAAATCCATGTAATCAAAGAATAGAATGGTAATTGCCATGGGGTAGGTAGGAAGGAGGGATGGGCATAAAGTGTCAGTCAAGCCAGATGAACAAGTTCTATAAATCTGATATGCAATATTATAGCTACAGTTAACAATGACATTTGTTACATTTAAAAAATTATGAAGAATGTAGATATCTTCTTAAATATTTTTACCATAATACAAGAAAAGGAAATTATTTCATTTAAAATAGTACCAAAAAACAAAATGCTTACAAATAAATTTCCACACAAAATACATGGTTTGTCCACTGGAAACTTTAAGTCATTGCTGAGATAAATTAAAGAAAATTTTAACAAATTAAGAGATATTTCATGTTTATAGATTGAAAATTTCACCACTGTTAGAACACCCATAGTTCCCAAATTTATCTATACATGCAAGAAAATTCCTATCAAAATCATTCAGTAGGTTCTGTTTTAGAAGCTGACATAATGATTATAAACATTATTAAAAAATCTCAAAGGATCTAGAATAGTAAAGACAACTTTAAAGGAAAAGAATAATGTTGGAAATTACTTTGAAGCTTACTATAAAGGTATAATTAAACAAGTCAATGTGACCCTGACATTAACACAGACATATAAAGTAGAACCTATAAATTGACCAATCAAGGGATAGGTCAACATAAGGAAGTAGGCCTACTGTACTGATAGATACATGTACTACATGTCCACTCTATGAAAATTAGCTTAACTTAAAGAGATGGTCAATGTAGGGAGGTGGTCAAACAGAACAGTGTGAAGAACAAGATACACAGATGTATGGATGCACAGATATTTGAAAAATTCATTTTTAATATAGGTATAAAGTTAATTAATAGATAAAGTTTAGGTTTTTAAATAAAGGGTATTAGTACAATTGTATATCCATATGTAAAAAGATGAAATTATTGCCATATCTCACACCATGTGCAAAAATTAAAGTCAATTACAGACATAAACTATAAAAATTGTAGAAAAAAATGAAAGAAGAAATCTTTACTGACTTTGGATTAAGCAAATATTTCTTACATAGGACATCAAAGGCATAATCAAAACCAAAAAAACTAATACATTAAGTGACATCAACATTTAAAACTCTTGCTATTTAAAGGTAATTATGGGGAAGTAGAAGATCAAGGCACAATCTCTTAAGGACTACTTGTAAAACATACAACTGACATGTTTGTGCTCAGAATATTTGTATTCAGAATATATAGTAATCCTATATATATAGTATAGTAATATATAGTAAATCCTATAATAATAAACAACAAATTACTCCATAAAACTTGTCAAAATATTAGAAATGACACTTTAGACAAAGATGTCCAATACCATTGGTCATCAGGGAATTGCAAATTAAAATCACAATTAGATGTCAGTCCTTACTTTAAAATTGTTTAAATTTGAAAGTACTGATCAAATTAATGTTGGTAAATGTATGGGAGCAACATCCATACATTTCTTTAGGAAATATAAAATTGTGCAATCTCAAAAACTCCTTTTTTTAATTAAATCATAACTGTGTACATTAATGCAATCATGGGGTACAGTATGCTGGTTTCATATACAATTTGAAATATTTTCACCAAACCAGAGATAAACACCCAGTCACCATATAATCCAGCCATTCCACTGTTTTCCCAAGAGAATAGAACTCTTACACCCGTACCAATAGAACTCTTACACTCATACATTTGCATATAAGTGTTTATAGCATCAATTTTTATTATAGATAAAATCTGGATACAGCTTAAATATAAATGAACAAGTTATAGATTTAAAAAGTGTTATCCCACCATGCAGTGGAATACTTGAACAAAGAGCAAATTACTATTACATACAGAACTTTGATAAATCTCAACATTTATGTGAAGGCTACAAAGAGTACATACTATCTGGCTCTATTTACATAAAACTGTAGGAAATGCAAACTTAATTTATGATGAAAGAATTCAAATCAGAATAGTGGTTACTTGAGTAGGGGAGTGACAGCAATACAGGGATTTCATTCAGGGATCAACGAGCAAGGGGAAACTTGTGTGTATGTTAGAATATATTCATTATTTTAATTGTTGTAATAGTTGCATGAGTGTATACATATAATAAACCCTATCAAATTGTAAGCTTTAATGTGTGCTTTTATTTCACATCAATTATATCTCGAAGCTATTAAATAACAGTAAAATAGCCACAGTAAAAGAAACACCAAACATACTCCTGAAGCCCCTAATTCCAGGCCTTGGCTACTGGATGGCATATCTAGACTTATTCCAGACCAGAAGGAAACATATTGCCCTAACAGGAAGGACTCAGTCCTGCCATGATTCACCACCTTTCTTACTAAAGAGCTTCTATGTTTTAACTAAGTACTAGACGTGGCCAGGTAGCAGTCGTCACAGACTTTGGGTGAAGTTGGGTTGGCCTTAAGTGTGACCTGGTGCAATCCTAGCTGCAGTGGACAGGAGATAGAACAGGCCAGCAAAAGAGCAAAGAGAGTTACATACTTTGCCTGATAATCTAGGAAATTCTCCCAGCTCTTACACAAATCCACGGAGCTGGGACCACCAATAGTCTGCAAGAATCATATATTACTAGGCTTGGAAGAGACCAGAGACTTAGATTTTAATACTCAATTCCCTTTAAATATCTGGAAAGATTTCTCAAGAAGGATGGGTTGAAACAAGCCTAGAGTGTGAAAATTAAAATAAATACCTAACTTTTCAATGCCCAGACATCAACTAAATACTGCAACCACAAGAATAGCCAGAAAAATATAACTTCACCAAATAATTTCAAAATAGCTATTTTGAAGGTGTTATGTGAATTAAAGAGAACACAGGAAAGAATTTAGAAAACTATCAGATAAATTTAACAAAGAGCTTGAAATAATAACAAAATATCAAGTGGAAAATTCTAAATATGGAAAAATAAATTGACAAACTGAAAACTGCATTGGAATCTCTCAACATCAGATTTGATTAAACAGAAGAAAGAATTTGTGAGCTTGAAGGTTGAATATTTTTTCACAGAAGAAAATAAGGAAAAAAAGTATTAAAGAATGCCTATAAAATCCAATTTGGTCAAATTTTACTAAATAAACAATAATTAGAAAATTCAGGATCTTTGTAACCTTTTCATGAATTGTTTTTGGAATTCTGACAGGATATATTTTGAGAGCTGGATAATGGGTATATTTAATTTAGTTAATTCATTGCTAATTTTGATAGTATATTTTTTATTGTACACTTTTCAAATTGTGTAATAACTCTAGTTTTAAAAGTACAATAAAATAACTGACAGGCATAATATATTTATAGAATGGGAGATATACACACATATACAGTTACATACATTATAGATAAATAGATATAAATACAGATACGTATGTAAGTATAAATATGTATTTTCTTTGTATGTCGATAGAAATACTATATGGAGAGATGTGAGTCATATAAAAATGGTTTCCTCGGCTCGGCGCCTATAGCTCAACCGGCTAAGGCGCCAGCCACGTACACC